TATTCAAGTAGAAAGAGAAAACTGAATCACAGAGCCAAAACAAGTTACAATCCACATTTAAAACACTCAAATGGCAGGTATTTTATAAAACAATAATTGAAAAATATCAGAGTAGAACCAAATAGCTCCTATTTCAGTTGGTAGACTCTGCAATATGTAGTTTCAAAAATGCATTAACAACAATCTGGCTCCTTTTCTCCAGGCACACACATGAAATATCATTTGGCATACGGGAATTATTCCCATAAAGATGAGTCAGATAACAAGCAAATGATCATTACCTCACATTATACGAAATGGAAAGAAGCCATTAATGCAGAATTAAGGTCATAAATTCACACATTCAGAAGCCAACAAAATAAAACATTAGCTCTCAAAGTATTAGTGTCTTATCCTTGCTGCCACATTAACTGTACATGCTAAAAACTCTGACAAATATTATAATTTGTATAAAATACAGAAGGGTAAAGCTTCCCATTTTCATGTTAATTTGTAGATTTTTCGGTTTACTTACTGGTTAGGAGCAGGTGTCTAATGCCAAAGCTCAAAAGAACCCTGTATATCTGAATCACTCCAACACTCTAAGCATGCTCCTCAGAAACCTATCTTAGGCCCCCCCAAGCCCTCACCCAATGAAAGGGCTGCACTGGGAAAAACGCAACTGAATACCCCCCAAATTATTCTTCTCAATACTTCTTGACCTTTATACATTATTTAAGCAAGTCCTGATCTACTCTAATAAGCACTGGTGATGAAACTACAAAAGGTATATTCAAAAAGGGCTAGAGCCCCAAGCTTCAGATATTCACACTTACACACTATTGCCCCTTCTAGTACTCCCGAAGGGGTTAGGCAAACAGTTTTTTTTTTTTTTTTTTTTTTTTCTTTGGAGGAGTCTCCCTCTGTCACACAGGCTGGAGGGCAGTGGCACAATCTCTGTTCACTGCAGCCTCCACCTCCCAATTCAAGCAATTCTGCTTCAGCCTCCTGAGTAGCTGGGACTAAAATTAGCCCGCCACCATGCCCGGCTAATTTTTTATACTTTTTTTTAGTAAACATGTGGGTTCACCATGTTAGCCAGGATTATCTTGATCTCCTGACCTCATGATCCACCCACCTCAGCCTCCCAAAGTACTGGGATTACAGGAGTGAGCCACCGTGCCCAGCTGGCAAACAGGTCTTCCTATCCACCCTTATTGCTCTATTATTGCTAGGTATGCACATGTATACATAAGGAATAAAAAATATTAATGCCATGACAATTATCCACAAATTTATATATGGATCACTATAATATGTATAATATAGACAGTACTATATATAATATATATACATACTCTTGAAAATTTCTAAAGCTAAGCAAGAAATAGGCAAACATACTTTGTTGGTAAATTCATTCATCCATAAAAAGCATTTGAACAGCTCCCAAGTGCCATTACCCACTTGATAGGGTCAAATACTATGTGCCTACAGTGTGTCAGGCACCATGCTAAGCACGAAAAAAAAAACATTTTTTATGTTGGGTAAGATATAAGCCCTAACGTCAATTAATTTACAATCTAATTGGGAATCAGACAAGCAAATCAACAATTTAAAAAGGAAGGCAGGCAATGTGTGGTGGCTCACGCCTATAATCCCAGCACTTTGGGAGGCAAGGCACGTGGATCACCTTAGGTCAGGAGTTTGAGACCAGCCTGGCCAACATCGTGAAACCCCATCTCTATAAAAAACACAAAAAATAGTCCAGTGTGGTGGCACACACCTGTAATCCCAGCTACGTAGGAGGCTGAGGCAAGGGAATCACTTGAACACAGGAGGCAGAGGTTTCAGTGAGCCGAGATCGCACCACTGCACTCCAACCTGTGTGACAGAGCAAGACTTCATCTCAAAAAATATATAGAAATAAATAAAAAAGGAAAGCAGACTAACAGGAGTAATCAATCCAATGTACAGGTGGGAGTTTCTGAGCAAAAGGAACTATCTGTACCAAGGCCTGAAGAACACAATGGGGTTAGAAAATTGTTCACTATTTTGTACTAGAACATAAGACATATGGCAGGGAACTCTCACAGGATAGACAGGCTAACTGTGAAAAGTCTTTTATCCTAAGTTAAAAAACATGAACTGCATTCCAGTCAACAGCAAACAACTGACAGATTTTAGGCAGAATCATAGTAACAGTAATTACAACAATAGCTTAGCATCTCCTAAGTACTCATGATGCCTCAGACATTATGCCAAGAGTTTTCTATACATTAATTCACAAAATTTTCCCACAGCTCAATTTATAAAATTACGCCCATTTTATAGATAATGAAACTGAGGCTCACAGAGGTAAAGTAACTTGCCCAGGATTACTAGAAATCTAGAAAGCAGTTAAGTCAGATTTGAAGGGTTACCTGCTAGAATAGTTTTTTTGGTTTGTTTTGCTTAGTTTTGTTTTGTTTTTTTAGATGGAGTCTCATTCTGTCGCCAGGCTGGAGCGTAGTGGCGCAATCTCAGTTCACTGCAACCTCTGCCACCTGGGTTCAAGCGATTCTCCTGTCTCAGCCTCCCAAGTAGCTGGGACTACAGGCACGCACTACCACATCCAGCTAAAATTTTTTGTATTTTTAGTAGAGACAGAGTTTCACCATGTTGGCCAGGATGGTCTACATCTCTTGACCTTGTGATCCGCTCACCTCGGCTTCCCAAAGTCACAGCCGTGACCAACTACATCCAGCTCTTTTTTTTTTAAATGATCAATTTGCCAAGGAGTATAAAGTGTGGATTACTAAAGGGCATACAAAAGAAAACCTTGTCAGCACACTGTTGAAAGAAACCAAGTAAAAAATGTTGAGAGCCTAAACTAAGCCTACGATGGTAGAAGTACACAAGCGGAAGAAAAGAGCTATTTCAACAGGTTGAGCACCGTGGCTCACACCTGTAATGTCAAGCACTTTGGGAGGCCAAGGTGGGGGGATCACTTGAACCCATGAGTGCAAGGCCAGACTGGGCAACATGGCAAGCCCCCGTATCTATAAAAAATTTAAAAAATTAGCTGGGCATAGTGGCATGTACCTATAGTCCCAGCTACCTGGGAAACTTAGGTGGGAGGATCACCTGAGCCCAGGAGGTTGAGGCTGCAGTGAGTCATGATCATGCCACTGCACTCCAGCCCGAGCAAAAGACTGAGACCCTGTCTCAAAAAAAAAAAAATTTTTTTCAATTAATATATAAATAAACAGACTCCCAAGGCCTCGTAAACTTAAGTTAAAAGTGACTCCTTGCCATCATGGCACTTAGTACAATTACAATCAATTATTTGTCATCTCTCTCTTAAAGGCTGGGCACAGTGACTCACACCCATAATCCCAGCACTTTGGGAGGCTGAGGCAGGAGGACTGCAGGAGTTTGAGGCCAGCCTCAGCAACAAGGCAAGACTCCTATCTCTACAAAAAATTTAAAAATAATAAAAAGTTAGCTGGACATACTGGTGCATGCCTGTGGTCTCAGCTTCTCAGGGTGCTGAGGCAGGAAGATCAGGAAACCATGATCACAGCACTGCACTCCAGCCTGGCAACAGAGTGAGACCCTATCTCAAAAAATAAAAATAAAAAAAGAACAGCATTTCCATGAGGGAGTAGGGGAATCTTCTGTATTACCCCCACTCCCTTACAGAAATTACCACATTGTAGCTCTGAAAACTACAAGTGCCTCCAATCTCCTTGCTCTCTTATCAATGTCAAATATATATTTTATCCTAACACTGTTTTAAGATAAAATATTTATACTGCTTTATTTCTATACACAAGAAAGTCATGTAAAGTCCCAAATACAGAGTCAGGCACACAGTAGGAACACTATAAGTGTTTGTTATCAACACAATGACCATGATTACCATCATTATACTTTGTACGATCACACTGTTAAACTAATCCAAGATCAGACAGACAGAACTGCAGGTTCTAAATAAAACATAGATAATAGTTGTATTTACTCTAATATCTCTTTTTCTCCTGTAAGATTCATTCTGCCTTTTCATACACTGCTCCTGAAGACTGATACACTCCCCATCTTCTTCTACCTTCTACTCATTCTTCTTTTTTTTTTTTTTTTTTTTTTTTTTTGAGATGGAGTCTCCCTCTGTTGCCCAGGCTGGAGTGTAGTGGCGTAATCTGGGCTCACTGCAATCTCCATCTCCCAGGTTCAAGCGATTCTCCTGCCTCAGCCTCCCAGGTAGATGGAATTACAGGCATGCACCACCATATCTGGCTAATTTTTGTATTTTTAATAGAGACAGGGTTTCACCACGTTGGCCAGGCTGGTCTCAAACTCCTGACCTCAAGTGATCCACCCACCTCAGCCTCCCAAAGTGCTGGAATTACAGGCATGAGCCACTGCGTCCAGACTAACCATTCTTAAAGTTGCTTTCCAAAAGTCATTTTTCTTTCTTAGCCATTTCATCTCACACCCTGGTTAAGAAATCTCATAGGACTTAGTTTTTACTTAAATAGATTTGAAAAAAGTTTATAATTATACATTTGAGCATCTGTATGCTTCATGAGATAAAGACCAGGTCTTTTTGCTCACAATCATACCTCAAGCACCCAGCAAAACAGCACATACACATAAATTACAGTCAGTAAATTTTTGCTGAATATATAAAAGAATGACCAAATGTTACTCTTTTTTACTAGTCTGTACCTGATCAACTCTTGACTTATACCTTAATATTTATTTCTGCATTTAATCCAAAATAAAAGACTACTGACAGTTAAAAATACTTCGTTCAAAATTGGCTTAGACTTCTTTAAAACAGTTTCAGAATCTCATCAAAATGAACAATTTTAAAGCAAAATATTTAAGACAGTTAAAAAAATCAGTTGTTTTCTTATTATTTTAATAGTCATGATAATCCTTGTTAATAAATAGTTAATATATATTCTAACTTTTAAGAAACATTGTAAACCATTGAAGATTTGAAATTTTCATTTTTTAAATATTTTGTAAACTCCTACCTTGACATTTCCCAATTATGGATGTAAAATCATCTTTTGCAGACCTGTAAAATGTGCAAAATCAAGGCAAAGGTTTTATCATAACATTGTATAGAACTATAAAATACCAGATACTGTGGACTAGACAGCCTCTATATAACACAATAAATCATTTCTCCTCTCAGAGATGGTTCTGTGCCTCAATTACAACCCTTTTGTCAGTGACAATATTTTCTTCCAACCTTCTTATTGCATCAGATATGGAGCTACACTGTATGAAACTATTTATATATATAAATATGGAATATAATGACACAGCCTAAGTGAATTTCCCATGGTCTTTTCATACAATAGAGATGTCTGGTCCCAATCCCCAAAGGTTCTGAATCAGGAAATCTGCTATGTGGCCCAAGCAAAAATATTTTTTTGCTGGACACATAAATCCTAATTAAGAACCAGTGGTCTGCATCATCTTATGAAGTTTGATCACTTAGGAAAAAAAAAAGTCTTATTTTAAGAAATCAAAGAGCCTTAGTAGGTCACCATATTTAAATCAATAACCTATTTTAAATCTGTGATCCTGAAATATATACCAAGTAGTATAATTATTATAAAACATGTTTAAAAATGAAAACTGGTAAACCCTCTGGACAATAGTTTAATAACAATTATCCAAAACCTTCACGTCCATAGCATTTGACCTAACAATTCTATGTCAATAAATTTATCCCAAGGAAATAATTACAGATATATACAGATATCAAGAAAACTGGTGTCTAATTTATGAAGGAGGAAAATAATACACAGTTTAAGGGGATTAAATTTTGCTATGAGCACTCAGTGAAATATTATGGAATTACTACAATTGACTCCTGAACAACACAGGTTTCAACTGTGCAGGTCCATGTTTATGTGGATTTTCTTCTATCTCTACTACTCTGAGACAGCAAGACCACCTCCCCCTTCTTCCTCCTCCTCCTCAGCCCACTCAATGTGAAGATGATGATAATGAAGGCCTTTATGACAGTCCACTTTCACTTAATGAACAGTAAATGTATTTCCTCTTCCATATGATTTTCCCAGTAACAATTCCCAAAGAATGAACTCATTTTTCTTAGTTGCTATGGTTGATAGCTCTTTTATAACTAACTGATACATTGTTTAAAAATAAAACACCTGAAAAGTCCAGCTTAGAGATGTGTCTTATGGATGTGTATATAATACCACTGAATGTCTCTTGAAGACAGACAGCATAATCCAGTCTCAAGTAATATGTAACCTTGGTCTTTTGCACACCCATATTCAATCTACCGTTTTGTACCAACAGAGCAAAAACATCCCTACTTTTTTACACCTTCCTGAATATCTGTTTACCTGATGTAGCAGTAAATAGTCAAACAAGAGTGATTTCCAGAGTTCTGGAACATAGGCCTCGTTTACTGAGAAAGTAAAATGTCTTAAGAGGCAACAGAATGATCTGGGGAAGGAGAAAGATAAGCACACAACTCTGAGAAAGCATCCTTAATTTTTTAACTGGCATAAGTTGGTGTTTGACACTCACAAAATTAAGTGAGTTAATAATAAAATCCTTTTAAATATACCCCCTATAAAAATCTTAGTTCCCATTTATAGAGTAAAAAACGTTTCTCAAAGGAAATCTTGAATATGAATAATATTAACAATTACCTGATTTCCACACACTGATCTTGAACAGCAGCCAAAAGCTTTCCATTGCTTTCATGGAGAAGAAAGAGGGGGGAAATATCTATTATGAATATCTGTAGCAGCTTTCAACACAGATAGAATTATTTAATAAGTTAAAATCATTTTTAAATTTGTTCACATGCTTTAATTATCCATTTTTTGACCTTACAATTAGATGAGGATAGAGGTACAAAAGCATACGAAATGGTTTAATACAGCATGAATTAACATGTTTAAACAATACTAATCATATGCAACAAAGAGATTTACATACAACAAAAATCAAGACTGAAAGCCATAAGGACTTCAAAATTAACATCCATAATGAAATGTAAAAGCTAATCCAGATAGAAAAACATATGAATTTTACACTTCCTTACCTTGCAAGTATCAAATGCCAGTTTATCTGTTTATTAACCAAGCGAACCAGTGCATCAGGGAGCAAAAAAGGTGCAGGGCTGAAATCACAACACATTAGTTAACTTAAAATCTAATCATAAAAATCATATATAAAGTAAACAAATAAATAGCACATACACTTATAGAGAGAAACATGGATTTTTTTCCATTAGAATATAAAATTTGAATATTAGCAAACCCAAAACCAAAAGTTACTATTTGGTAGCTGAAATCTGACCATATATATTTTATTTCCAAAAAGCATAGTGGTGTTCAAAGGTATAAATGTATGTATTTCCCAGGAAAAAGACATCTAGCATAACAATAATATCTAGAATACCAATAACTTACCCCAACCCTTCCTGCTCTAACCACCTAGAAACTCTGGCTCAACTGTAACAAAAACAAATTTTAGCGTAGAGTTAAACTCACAAGAAAGAAAGAGAAATTTCTAAGTACTAGAAATGAAAAAGTCACTGAAAGCTAGAATTGAGGACGGCGGGGGGGAAGAGAAACAAGAGCCAAAAACAGGACTTAGCACACGGGATACGAAATGAGCTACTGAACCAAAGAGAGGACAGGATCTGGAAGTGACACTCCTGCAAAACCCAGGATGCTCAAATGACTGCACCAAGTTAGAACTAGAAACGCCTCACCATAGGCCCAGGGAGACTAAAGACTCTCTTCTCTGCCTGGAACTATGGTTCTGAGTAGGATGGGAATAAAATCTACAAAAAAATAAAAGCCCATGTCTGGACCATATGCAAGATCAGACTGCAATTTCACTTTACTCATGTGATGCAAGAACAAGCATAAGTTCAAAATAAAACCATTCGCAAAATACAAAAAACTACCTACTAGGAGTGAGTGAGGAGACGCAGCAAATTAGAGGAATGATACCTGAAGAAATGAAGAAAACAGATGGAAAAGAAGAATAAATAATTCCATCAAAGAAAAATAGGAAAGAAAATACATTATGGAAATCAGAAAACACAAAATAAGATTTCAAAATGTTAGTGGCCTGGCACGGAGGATGTGCCTACAGTGTCAGCTACATGGGAGGCTGAGGCAGGAGGATTATTTGAACACGGGAGTTTAAAGATAGAGTGTACCATGATCCTGCCTGTGAACAGCCACTGTACTCCAGCCTAAGCAACATAATTAGACCCTCTCTTTAAAAAAACAATTATGATAAATACTGGTAATATACATGTGGCGTATTTATGCTCATTTTTAAATCACAAAATAAGATCAAAGAGAGTTACAAAAATATAATGAAGATATGAAACATGCTTGTGAATACTATCTACATAAGGATGATAATTTCCTCTAGAAGGGAAGGGAAAGGAAAAAGATTGGAAAAGGATTTGAGGTATAACATTTTCCATAAAAAGAAAAAGGGCTAGCTGATGCAGGTTTATTATACTGTTGATAATTCTCAACATGTTTATATTTCATAATGAAAAGAACTTTTTTTTAAAAAAGAAGAAAAAGCCACTTGAAACAAATATTGACCCCAAAACCTTTGGGTTTAATGGCCATAAACGCAACAGGACAAATTGAACTATAATCTTTTTGAAAGTAACGTATCATAAGAAAGATTCGTCACTTAATGGTGCATTTACAACCTGTACAATGATCAACACAGCCAATTCAAGGAAAAAGGCTTCTCAGGAGGAAGGGAGACAAAAAGACAATTACTTGTGATGCCTGATCATAAGGTTCTCATATACAGGATAAAGCTTGTATCAGAGTTAACTTTTTGAGTCCTCCTTTTCAATAGATAACAAAAAGAATTATTAAGCAGCAACCTGAACAAGACAAGCTTACCACCTTATCCAAGCGTGTTCAGGACTAACAAGCTGTCGCCTAGTGAGGTCAGAAAACACAGCCCACCTCCCAATTCCTATTGTCTCCTTCCACTCTCTCTTCCTGCTCATCTCTCTATCCTAACATATCCCGCACCCACAAAAAAGTGATATAATTAAGTACAGAAATGTAAATATGCACACATATATATGGATATATGTACATAGACACACACATACATAGAGTAAAAGCAGGAAAACATTGGAGCAAGTCCTAGAGAAGAGCCAAAGGTCTCTTTTATGGAACTATATTATCTCTGGAACTTTAAGACAAGAGATCCTCAAGGAAAAAGTGATCTATGTAAATAATTCTATAAAACAATTCCTATACATGTATCTAAAAGCAGAATTTATAATTTTTTGTCATAATAATTATTTCTTTGTTCTTTTTAAAGCTGGAAATTAGCAACCAGGCCTGAAAATATACTTAACACTCAAGGAATTAAAACATACACAAGAACTGAAACCTAAAGAACCTTCTCTGATACACAGCAGTTGAATACTAACCATAAAAGAGATAATGTGACAGTAAGAACAAAAATGCTTTTTAAAAGGTATGCAAGCTACAGAGGCTTCACACGGACATTCAACATAAGCCTGAGAACCCTCATCAGAGGAAGCCGAAATCGTCATGAGACATTCTTAATAGTAACTAAGGGAATAAAAACTACCCTAAGTCTATTGAGATATCTTGTCAGATTACACCTAAATGTTTAAAATGTCTATTTTATACTGAGTTTGCCCAAATGTCGGCAACTTTATCATGATCTAGAATTCAATTACGAATAGAAATCATAAATAGAATAATATTGTTTGCATTTGACATTCATACTGTTTCTCTGAAGAACTGAAGACTCACCTGTACCAGATATATTGGCGTAAAAATAATAAACGATCTGTAATAAAAAAATGGCAAAGCCAAATATAAATCAGTTGTTCTTTATGAATTATTTTCAAATTAGATTTATGGATAATAAATCTAAAATATACTGCAGAATTGAGTCATTTAAAAAAAACACAAAGAACACAACTCTTAAAATGAGAGACTAAATATAACCTAATACACACTATAACATTTACAGGGTCATACATTTGTTTATATTAAATTCCAGGTTTGTGTGTTATTCAAAAGTTTCAAGTATTTCCTAACTGTACCAGAAATAAAAGCAGTTTGAGATGTTAAATAGAACCTAAGAAGATTTCATTAAACCATGGACTAGAAATTATAATAATCACCCTTTAAAAAACAAAATATCTGTATAAAAATTAAAACAAGATACTATTTTACACTGTATAGCAAAGATTTTAAGAATGATAATACCTAAAATGGGAAAGCCAATGGAAAACAAAACCTCTAACACACTATTAAAAAACAATACTTCATACCATCCTATTTTAAATGTATATATACGTGTGTACCTGTGTATGCAGTTAGGTATGTATTAGTGGAAAAGATCTAAAGATCAACAGATTATCTCTGGGTGATAAGATGAGGACAAATTTTTTTCTAATTTATAGTTATCTATAGTGTCTATGTTTTCTACAATGAATTTTTATTACTTGTACACATTTTCTAAATTCTCAAAATTTAGAAGCATTTGTCATTTGAAAACTTAATATGCTAGTGCTTCCTGTATTAGAAGATAAAATTATCCATAATTAACCAATTTTATCAGAAGATAAAAGTATGATGAGGAAATTAGATTATAGTGAATTTCAAGTACTCAACCTCTGTGAAAATGAATTTTCTGTATATAAGGAACTTCAATTCACTGGTATAAGGATGAACTTTGGAGCCAGAAAGACCTGCTGTCAAATTCCAAATGAATGACCTGGGGCAAGTTTTCTCATCTGAAAACGTGAAGGAATAACAGCACCTACCTTCTGGTCTGATAAAAGGACTCCATTCATTAATATGGTAAAGCCCTCATGGCACCAGCTCAGTGAACCTAGTGCTCAATCCTTTCTCAGACTCTTGTTAGTTCATATGTAAAATCTGTCAGGAGTTAAATGAATACCCTGGCTTATCAAATTTGTAATTTGAGTATCTCTGATGAGATGTATCTGAAACATCATATAAACCACTTAAAATAGTCTCTCACTGTATTTTCACCTTCAACATCCACAGACTCTCTGGGACTCATACTGGCTTTGACCTTCATTCCTTCTAGAATAGCGGTCCCCAACCTTTTTGGCACTAGGGACCAGTTTTGTAGAAGACAATTTTTCCAAGCAACCTAGATCCCTCACGAATGCAGTTCACAACAGGGTTCTTGCTTCTGTGATAATCTAATGCTGCCACTTATCTGACAGCGGAGTTCAGGTGGTAATGCCCACTCACCCACCAATCACCTCCTGCTGTGTCTGGTACCAGTCCATGGCCCAGGAATTGGGGACCCCTGTTCTAGAATGCATCCATAATGGTTAAACCAATGCTATATACTTTAGCTCTAAGCTGCATTAAAAACCTGCATGTGTATACATATGCATATACATATATACGTGTGTGTATATAAATACATACAAAATTAAACTCAAATAACATGCTACTTTCATTAAGCTCCACATCAGAAGTAGTCTAAAGAACACATTTTAACTGTTAACTATATCGTTAAATGTTAAATGTACAGAAATAAGCTATATTTACCTCGAATTGCTTTCGTGATGATAAAGGATGCACCATGTTTTCGGTTGCCTCTAGGCTGGAATTCAAAACACAAAATTCTTTGAATTTTCTTGTATTAGACTAGTATTACTTACATAATATGTAAATTTATTTTTCTTTACTAATACTCAGAGTTTTGGGCACAGGGAAGCAGTATCTTAAAACTATTTCAAAACTGAGCGTTTAGGTGCAGTGGCTCACGCCTGTAATCCCAGCACTTTGAGACACCAAGGTGGATCGATTACTTGAACCCGGGAGTTCCAGACCAGCCTGAGCAACATGGCAAAACCTTATCTCTACAAAAAAGGCAAGGCCATGGATGCTTATAGCCCCAGCTACTTGGGAGGTTGAGATGACCGGAGAGGTTGAAGCTACAGTGAGCAGTGATCACACCCCTGCAATCCAGCCTGGGTGACAAAGTTAGACCCTGCCTCAAAAAAAAAAAAAGAGAGTCAGGATGGGGGGGACAATAGGAGTAAAGTGAGCACGGCACACTACAGGCACACATCAGGACTACCCTTGCAGGAAAGAACAAGGATTGAAGCTGGAAACTATTTCCAAATCAAATACCAATCCAAAGACAAGAGAATTCAAGGCCAAAGACCACACCGGTTGCCAGTTTAGCACACTCTATTGGGGCTGTAAGTTTTGCTCACAGAAAAATCGGTCATATCTCCAAGGCAAATTAATTGACTATCTGTTGCATACCCATACAGACAACGTTACTAACAAAACATACACAGATATGTAATTGCTATATTAAATAATTCCATTCCATGAGTACAGACTGAACACACTGTGAGTAGGTTCACAACACTAGGCACTGCATAAGATGCACTTAAGTGCTGTCAAGAAAAGCCCAATGCACATACACTAAGTGTAGACAAGATTTTTTAAAAAAAACACACACAGAAAAGTAATTTCACTCAACAAACATGAATTGATCGTCGGATTCATGCAAGACACAATTTAGCCTGGGGAGAGATACAAAGATGAATCAGATGTAACTGCCCTCCAAGAGCCTATACTTCAACAGCTGAAATCAATATAATGCAGAAATTAACACAACTCCTCCACCTCCAACACACACACACACACACACACACACACACACACACAAAGTGCTAAGGGTTTCAAAGTTAGTTAACTCTGTGGTTACTTTTTTGAAATCAATTTATGGTAAACATTCTGAAACATCATTGCAATTAACCAATGAGTATTACAGAGTGGAAACTTATCTAATCAGCTGCAGCAGCAACAGCTTCCTAGCTGCACAACCCAAAAAATATTCACATTAAGACAAAGTATTTGAAATTAAACAGTAATGTATGCAGATCCCTACCCGTCTACAAAATACATTATTCAAGATAAGCACAAACGGCAGTGGGAATGAGGCTAAAGAGAAAAAAAAACAAACTTTGGGCTGAAAAATGGGTCGTTTCTCCAGTACAGAAACACTCAGAAAAAAATGTAAGAGAATTTGTATGGACTGGACTACATAATCTTTAATAAAGATTCTTTTCGATCTGGCTGCTTCCTCTGGGTCTAAAATAGTAACTGGCATGCATTTAAAACTCAATAAATATCTGTTGAATAAACATGGGTCTGTGGTTCTACTCTTCACCACAGACACAGGAGGCCCTCAGTACCAAACAACTGATAATCCCAAGATCCAGTCCATAAATTATCAACTTCTATAACCCTTTCCTAGCAGGGATCCCAATCTCAGCCAGTAGCTCTTTCCTCTTCACTTCAGTGGTATTTTGCTCACATCGCTAACTATAGCGCATAAAATGCTAGATTATGATTGTCTCTCTTCTAAACGAGAAGCTCCACGAAACCATATTCATCTCTGTATCCTCCGCACCTAGCACAGCATATGGGACACGGAGGCGAACGAAAGGACACGCACACGCTTATTAAATGCTCTTTTATTGAAACACACAAGAACTGGCGCGATCCAGCCCTGTGTAACGGTAAAGGCTCAGATTCCGCGCTCTGCAGCAGCCTGCCAGATGCTGAAGACTGTAAGGTCCTGGAAAATTCTCCCACCGCAGCTGAGTGTCGGCCCAGACTAGCCCTAGCCAGACCGCAAGAAGGGACCACCGAGAGTCCAGACAGGAGAAAGGACCCTCGAGTCCAGCGCTGTGCCCTCCCCTCCGAATACAGAGAGAGAAACTAACAACCAGGGTGGGATCGTACGATCCCCAGAGCACAAAGTTCCAGCCCCCAACAACCGAATCCTGAGCCCAGGAGGAATCTCAAGGATCACCACCCCACCCTGCCATAGGAGCCCCAGACCCCCGCTAGCCCAAGGTGCTGTTGCCAGGGCGACCGCACAAGTCATAAGGCCCTGGTCCCCAGTCCACCCGGCTCCACTCCCCTACGTGGCTCCTGCTACGTGGCTCTGCCCACGAAGCACCCGCGACTGCGCCAAGTTGGCTGCTGCTGTAGACGGGCCTGCTTCACCTGTACTTCAGTCTCCGGTGGCCACTCGGTGTTGACCAACAAGTCATAGAGAATCGTCTCCTCCTCCCCTTCTGCAGCGCCTGGGCTCAAAGCCGGCCGTGACGCGGGGGCCGCCATGTTTTCCCGGGACTCAAGCTGCGGAGGGAGTGCCTCTACGGAATCCCTCACAGGACAAGCTTCCCTAGCCCGGCCGCTTTTGATTCGCGGGGAAGAGAGGGGAGTGACCTGACCGCGGCAAGGAAATGCTAGGTTAACCCTTTTATGAGTAGGAAGGACAGGGACTATTGCTTGTCTTGGGAACAACTTGTGTCCCGGTCCTGGTGCACTCCTTGTTAATTAGCCAAGTCATCGAGCCTCTCTTATCAAGTCAGCTTCGATAAAACAGAAATGATAAGAGAACCCCACTGAAATGCGAATGTTCATTTCAGTATTCCTTGCCTTAACATGTAGAGAAAGTTCAAACAATGGTTTTAAAATAAACACCCAAAGTTATCCAACGCAAGAGATCAAGCCAATGAAAGGCAGCAGAGGAAAGATGCTACGGGCACTCAGAAAAGGCAATGAAGGCCAGAGAGTCTGCTGGGACTTCGTGGACGACGTGGAGCTTGTCCCCGGGTCTTCAACAATAGGCAGAATTTTAATCCACTAGAGAAGCATTTCAAATAGTGGGAAATGGGATGAGCAAAGACAGAGGCAGAAATACAGAGTTGAAAGAGCTCTTTCAACGTGTCGCGAGTGAGCGACGACTTTCTGGGTGTGGGGGTAGAAGAATTTACCGAGAGACTGGGAGATAAAGAAAGACAGATTAAAGAAAGTACGAAAGTTCGTTGCCAGGGAGCAACGGGCAGAACCAGCAGAGGAGGAACTCACTGCCAGGAAACAAAGGCTTGTTGAGAAATTTTAGACTGGAACCTGGAGTGATTGGTAACACCAAGGTAGCAGGGAGTTAACTTGCTTTTTGTTGTTGTTGTTAGCCCTTTGGTGTTTGATAAATTGAGGCGTTTAAAGGTAAGCAGGAAGTTTGTGAGTTAAGTACATTATCTGTGTAGAAGGGGTGTATGTCCTGGGCCATAAAGAAAAGTGGACCTATGGCTTATTCCTTCCTTTGGTTTATATGTTTGGGACCATGAAGAAAGGCAGACGTACAGCTTATTTGCTTTCTCTCTTTGTTTTTCCCTGCTCCTACCCACCTGCCTTTTCTTTCCTAATTAGTACTCCACAAGATAAGCACAGTTGAGAAAGGCTATAGGGGCAATAAAGTTGAAATAATAGGTTGAGAACCCCCATGGAGGGAGCAAAAAGGTCAACCCCATTTGTACATTAATTCATTCGTTCATTCATGCATTCATTCAGTAAGTGCCTCTTTGTGGACAGCCCTGAACTGTAAGCAGAGCCTATGGTAACCTGAATGAATGTATAGTGTACAAAGTATTAGCACTGTTTCACATCAGAAGAAACACAAATACTGAATATCTCTTGATATCTCTTGAGAGAATTATATTGCATGATATCCCTCAAGATGCATTAGGCAGTGATGCAATTAAAAAGCCTCCGCTGGGGAGCCTCTAACAGCTCCCATTTCTCTCAAAGTTTGATGACTTCAAAGACCTACATCATCTGCCTGCTCCCCTAAATCTCACACCTCATTTCCTGCTCCCCCTACTACCCTCAGCCACACTGGCTCTGCTATTTCTGAACACACCAGACACACACCAACTTCAGGAATTCTGCAAAGCCTGTCCCCTCCACTTGGAAGTCTTTCTGCCGGACGTTTACCCAGTTCCTCCCTTAATCTCCTTCAAGTTTTTGCTCAAATGTCATCTTCTCTCCGAAGCCTACCTTGACTGCTCATTTTTAAATTTGCATGACCTTTCTCCAACTCCAGCTTTCCAGAGCTGCTCTATTAGTTTTTCCAAAACATTTGTCATCATCTGAACTGCTATACAATATATTTGCTTATTATCTGTCTCCATTCACTAAAAGGCAAGCCATGCCAGGTGCTCTATCTATATACATACAAATACTATATGCATCCCTGCTATATCTACAGAATTTATAACAGTGCCTGGCATAGAGCAGAGGACAAAATATACATTATTTGTTGAATAAATGAATGACTTCCCAGAAAACCTCTTTTATACATTGTCTCCCTATAGTAATTCTCTGCATGGCAGCTGTGCCTTTCAATCAAACCCCTCACTGTTAACACCAGACACACCTTCTCCCTACCCCACAAGGCTGACAAACTGTACACCTCCAGGGAGCTCTGCCCACATTGCACGCGGTAGAACATGAAGAGGTAGGAACACCATGCATGTGGAATGCAGGGTAAGGGCTGGTTGTTGGAGTCCTCCAGTACCTCAGTACAGCCCCCACACCAAATTTCCTTGGCTATTTACTCCTCTTCCCTGTCTCATCCTTTCTTGGACAGATATTGGGGGTTGCTTTCTGTTTCATCACTCTCTTCACTGCTTTCACTTGATCCGTATAACCATGGCGAGGAGGTAGCTGGTCAAACTGGCAAAGGATGCTTCCTTCTTAGCTGGTGTGCATTGGGAACCACTGAAAATACATCATGAAGAATTTCTTTCTTTTACCATCATCACACTATTTTGTTGTTGTTGTTTTTGAGACAGGGTCTCACTCTTTCACCAAGGCTGGAGTGCAGTGTCCCAAAGAGAGCTCACTTCAAGCCTCCACTTCCTGGGCTCAAGCAATCCTCCCACCTCAGCCTCTTGAGTAGCTGAGACCACAGATACATGGCACCATGCTGGGCGAACTTTACTATTTTTTATAGAGATGGGGGCGTCTCACTTTGTTGCACAGGCTGGTCTCGAACTCCTGGGCTCAAGTGATCTGCCTCAGCCTCCCAAAGTGCAGAGATTGCAGGCAGGCACCACCATGCCTAGTCTCACACTATGTTAATTGTTTTATCCATCCTCATCCATACCCCACTTACTGTAATATATACAATAGGACAGAAAACATAAAATCATGCCTGGCTGGCCTCAGGGAGCTTCTACTCTGAAGAAACAACAACTGAAGTTTCATAGGATGAAACTACACTATTTGGAGAGAGAGTATACATTTAACTTGCAGCAATCCCTGGAAGAAAAATTCTACTAGCAGAGATGCTCTGAGCAGATCAATGGGTTGTTAAACCTTCAGCACCACTACTTAAAATCCAGAAGAGCTCCTGGAAGGGGAGAAATGTGAGGTGATCCATAAAAGGGAAGAAGGTGGTAAGAATATATATGTCATGAGTACGCTTTCTACCAGATGTTCATTCAAATGTTGAATATCAGACATGGGTTGGAAAAGAAAAGGCAGAGAAGTGATCAAAGTTCAACTGGATCAAAGGAATAGGATGACTTAAAACAGATTGTGTGGCTGAAGCCAAATTGCTAATTGGTCTTATTTACAGTGACTACATAGCAAATTGTCCAAACTGGGGATATTTTGAAAATAAAAAGCCATGATTTTAATAGTTGTGCTAGGACAACAGGCATGAAACAGGATTATCGTGGGCAAACTGAGATGATTATCACAATAATCCTAAAGAGCAGAGTGGGTAATTTAATGAAGAGATGGCAAGCATTTCATAAGGATGGCCAGACTCTTCTGTTCATCATTATTCTCTTCTCCTTTCCTCCCTCATGCTTGTAGTGACTCTAGTCATCTTTGTCTGTCCAGGCCTTTTGCTTCCTTTGGAGACTGTTCTAACTGCTCTTCCTTCACTCAAGTCAGATAATTCCTAGGAAGACTGCCAATCACCAACTCTGTCCCCTTGACCCAAAGAACTCCATTCCTGTTATTTGAGCACCAGGTTGAGAATGCTTCCCTGGGATTTTTCTTTCTTTTAAGATTGAAATGGAGGAAAAGGCTCCTTGCCTTTTGGCTCTTCTCTACAATGCTGTAAGGAAAGTGCTAATATCTGTATCTACAAGTAGATATACCTGTACTTTAGTAAACTGAGGCTCTAAATCATTGTGGCCCAAGCAAGGTCACATGCTGATAATGGTAAAGCCACAAATGAGATAGTTTTTGTCCAACAGAGAAGACAGAGTTTGAAGAATATTGGGGGTTATTAGCAGCTATTGTATTCAGTACATAGAGAAAGCCTGTCTGCACAGTGAGAATGAAACCAACGCACTGAAAAAAAACAGAGAAGAGAAAGAGGTAGAGACTTCATCTGATATAAGCATGCCTAGAACAAGGGACACCTGTATGATTCCATCTTCCCAGGTAGGTGATCTAGTTCATTCTCTTTTATGCTTCAACTAGCGTGAGTTTCTAGGGATTGAAAGCACTCCTCTCTTGGTGTTTCTACCAGTGGATTTTGCAGATTTACCTTATTTATGTATGTATGTATTTATTTAAGACAGGCTCTTGCTCTGTCACCCAGGCTGGAGTGCAGTGGCACAAACACAGTTCACTGTAGCCTTGACCTCCTGGATGCAAGCCATCCTCTTACCTCAGCCTCCCAAATAGCTGGGACTACACACGCATGTCACCACACCCAGCTAAAGAGTTACCTAATCTAGAATCCAGACGTAGCATATAGATCTCTGCAATGTTGCTTCTAAATTGACAAATTGGCATTATTAGTTAATAATTGGTAGTGTTCATGGCTTACTAAGCTCTTCCATCCTCACAGCCACTGCTGAAATTGACAGACTCAGAAGACAGAGTGGATCTCTATTTCAAAGATAAGAATATTAAAGCTTAGAGAAATACAAGATCACAACCGAGCTAAAATTCAAACGGCGTTCTGCAGGTCTTGATGCTTTGCTTTTTCTTTAAACTACCACATGTCACTGAGAGCTGTATGGAAACGGATTATTTAAAAACATAGATTAAATTATGTGATGGTTGAAAGTGAAAATAAACAGTTATGGATGACCAGGAGTACAAACATGTGGAGATGGGGTATTAACCTGTCAAAGGAAAATTAAACGCATTATATATAAGAGTTTGACTGACAAATACTATTATGATCATCTAATCTAATCAACTCCTTAATTTAGCTGAAAGTCCATCTCTGGTTCAAAAATATTTGAAATCATGAATAAGTCTTTTTCTCTCTCTCTCTTTTAAATATTTGGAGAGATGGAGTCTTGCTGCATTGCCCAGGCTGGTCTTGAACTCCTGGGCTCAA